CCACATCTGGACTGTCCCTTTCACCGACCTGAGCTGTGTTTCCGGTGTCTTTTAAAGTGTTCTTTCCCCCATCACCGGTCATTTTCCTGTTCCCTATTGTCATACAGTTAAATACTCCAGGGTTTCTCAAAGTGGTCATTGAGCCATCTGGGAGGCTTTTATAATGCAGATCAACCTGCGGAGGCCCCTCCGGGTTGAGAGGTATTTGAGTTGGAGAATCAGGTCACTAGGCCCACCTGCACACTTGCCAAGATGGAGGAAGTGAGATCCGGAGGAAAGGGACTTAGCCAGAGCCCCAGCTTGTCTGAGGCAGGACTTCCATTGCTCCATTCCCCGGGAGGAGGTGCCTCCCCAGTGGGCCGCCTAACGTTGGGTCCCAGCAGGCTGCCCGGGGGCTCTAGGCTTGTCCAAGTGGGTGAGCAGGTTGGCAGGGCCAGCCTCAGCACAGCTGCAGGGCCACCTGCTCTGGGTCCGGGGCCGGCCCCCTCACCCTGGCTTGGCTATGCCAGCCGTTCACAGGAACCTCCTCTCCCCCCCAGGGCTCCTGTGTGGGCTCTGAGGAGTGGGTGAGTCAGTCCCCAGCTCCTGAGCAGGAAAAAGGTGTCATTGGCAAGGTCCTATCTGCCTGGACACGTGTGTGGAGTTTGTAGTCATGGGGGAATGCATAAGAGTGAGCCTGTGTGTGTGTGACACGCATGAACTGGTAGCTCCCCCGTGGGGCTGGGTCCTCTGTTGGTGTCCAGGCCTGGGGTGTATGCAGAAGGGCAAATATGTGCACATGTGTTCTGCAGATAAGTGTGCAACCTCCAGCTGTTTGGGCTTGTGTGTTCTGCCTAAATGCATTGTGGGCATCTCTGCATGGGGCTGGCTTGATGGATGAGATGGTGTGTCTGGGGGCTGCAGAACCACACTGGGTTCCTAAGTGTGTAATTGTTCTGTAGATTGGCTGGCATTTCTGGATCTCTGCTGGTCTCCGGTGGAGGTGGGGGCTGCTGTATCCAGGCAAACCCTTCCTGAAAAGTTCAAGTGCCAACTTTCCTGGCAATTGTTTGGCCCTGGGGACACCAACTCCATGTACCCTGCCAGGTCAGCTCCCATGCATTACACAGGGAGAAACCGAGTCCCCAAAAGGGCAAAACGCTTGTCCCAGAGAAGCTCAAGACTGTTAATAGGCTGTGTTAGTAAATAAAAGTAGAATAAAAGACAGCACCGACTACCGTGAGCCCGCCTCCGAGCTCAGCCCTTTACACAGAGGGTTTCTTGTGGCGCTAACAGCAGGGTTCTGATCCTAGGTTGACAACAGAAGCAGGCTCAGCGGCGATGAGCCTGGTGGGCACTGACCTTACGGCAGGTACCACCCCTTGGCTAACCACCACGCTGTACACCTGAAACTAATATTGTATCAACTGTAATTGAAACATTAAAAAAGCCAGGCACCACCCCTTCCCCAAGCACCGCAGGAACTTTATCAAAGGACACAATAATTGGAGGTAAATTACGTCCTTCGCTGCTTCCCATCCACTCCCCACCCCGCTGCCGTTTTATAGCATTGACTTCATAAACTGGTAGAGAAAAAATGCAGTAGAACACTTAGCCCGTAGTGTTTGCTAGTTATAAATTATTGTTAATTGTCGCCTGGTGTCCTTGGAGTATCCTCAGAGGTGCACGTGTGCCCCCACTCCCTCCCGGGTGTGCCCCCCCTTCCCCCC